CCTTATGTCCCTGTGCCTCTTGCACCAGCACTACATATTTTTCCTTCACATCTAGATAAACCTTAGAGTCATGTAGTGTGTTTTCCTCGAAGGGCGTATTTTATGAATTGACACGTTTCCTCGAAGAACCGTTTCTGTGAGCACAGACGACCTGCAATACTGGTGATCACAGAATTCGCTTCTCGCTATACAAAGAACGACACAATGGCTATCCCTCTATCGGCATTCTTCCAAATCGGTCAAGGACCGCTTTCAGCACTTCTCCTGGCCACTTGATTCGTTTCGATTCCATGGACGATTACTTTAAGCGTGTTAATTCTGCTCGCACCAGATTTCGGTGCACTAGCAGTATGTTTTTTTACACCCTTCACATAGCTTTTCCCAACCGCATCTGTTTTTGCGTTGTTTTCATTCATGGTTCCAGATGCGGACTTTTTCCTCTTAGCCTTCATTTTATGTTCGTTGAACACAGCCACTCAGAGCCAATCTCGGAGCCAACGGCTCAGCATCCTGGCAAAGCCGAGAAGTCCTTACATATATATATATATAGAGAGAGAGAGGGAGAGAAAGAAAGAAGTCCTTATATATATAGATTTATATACATAGATATAGAGATGGATATATATGTATATATTATGTGGATGGATAGATATATGGAGAGTGAAAGAGATTTTGAAAACAGTTCGCTACTGCAGCACATTTTCGGTCATTAAATTTCGTAAAAAATTATTTTGACATTTCTCATAAAACACTAAATTGGTATCAGCAATTGGAAACATTTCACATACTTACTTTTTTAGTAAAATGTGTCAGCAGGATTTCTTTATATGCATGAAGAAGAGAAAAAATGAAAGATACACCTCTCTTTATTTCCAAAACTTGTTTTATAAAGTAATATCTACTTCAAATGTTATCCACATCTTGGTAATTGGTCACAGCTTTTTGCCATTTGATCGAATATACTGATTTCAAATACTGAATCATTTACCTGGCAAACACCCGGCCAAGGCGACCAGATTTCCTCACTAGTTTTTTTCTTGTATTGATTACTAGACATCGATTGCTCTGAGTTGAATAAGATATCATCTGCTATGTCAGCACCATTACCAGTGTTATCATTTATCACAAAAGGTAATCCTAAAGATGTTAGTGATGGGCGAAGTGGAGGTCCTGCTGCTCCTTGCGTTAACAGTGATGATGCTGATGCTGGTTCTTTACCATATATCGTTTGTGTTTCATGACCACCTATAATCACTTCGATTTTCGAGTTGAACTGATATCTTAATCAACGCTGATGCCATGTACAAATTAAAAAATGCTTTAAGAACAATTTACCTCTATATTTGGGTTCTACATCTTGCAAAATTTTAGGGCACTTCATAACTTCCATCAAACCTCCTACACATTTCCGCAGATTATAGCACTTACGACGTCTGATGCTCCTTTCTCCAGCTTTCTTGCATTCGGACCATTGGCTCCATTGAGAGAAGTGATCTTCCTTGAAACTTATTCAAAAATTTCTCTGATTTTTATAGTTTTCAGCTTTCTACAGTCTTTCTATTCTTGAGTTAGAAGAAATTTTCTGGTGCTCAAACGCTGATTTCTAGCAATATAACATAGTAAATCAAAGAGGTTACAAATTTGTTGCATTAAGAAGCCTGAAAATCTTTTTGGAATAGCTATCACGAATCAAATATAAGTGCATTCACACCTCTTCAAGTGCATTTAATGTTTCTATTTTAAGTCTTTTGATTGGCTTTTGTGGTAGTGCAAAAGCTTTTGCTTTCCCTTGAATTGTCGCTCCTGAATTCTCCCTCTCACCATAGTGATTCTCAATCTGGAACGTTGAAGGCCTTACCTAAAATTGAGGAAAGTTTTTTTTACTGAGTTCATCAAAATATAAATTTAGTTTTTGCAAAGATTTACCAGGCATTGCACTGTAAAAAATATGATGCGCGGAGAAACTCAACCAGTTAATCTAAAGGAGTTAAAGATGATTAGAACAAATAATTGTGACAATAAAATTTAGTATTCAAGGTGCACAGATGCTTAATATCTGGGAGAGCGGAAACCTCCAACGGTGAATTTTCTTCGAAAGAGTTGTCTTTACTTGCTTCTAATGTAAATTCTTCTTTACTTTCCTGTAAAGATATATTTGTTCCGTATTTTTGCTTCATTACAATCATTCTGCCGATTATTTCTCAAAAAAGTGCTGGTAAGTAACTAAATCAAATTTACAAAGCATTACAGGATACAGTGATCAAAAGTTGATATTTTCTAAATCAAATTAATCAAAAAAGATAGATACATTAGACGAAGGTTTCACCCACAAAATAAAGTAATTATTCCTTAATTAATTTTAGAAAATTGACCTGTAGCTTTGTTCGTTTGAACAGTTTTGATTGCTTGTTGTTACTCACTGAACCAGCATTGAATACTAACTTTGTCATCTTTCGCTCATGAAGCTTTGAAATTTCAGGAAAAGCTTCTTCCTCAGTGGAACTCGATCTCCCCATGTATGTTTTTGATATTCTTCCTTGTCGATTTCTCAGGCTTTGTTCATCAAAACGTTCCTTTCTGCTTTTTTCTTGTCTTAGGGCTTTTTCTGTCCTGAGTGAATCGGTTTTCACATTGGATTCAGAAATCCTTGCTTCATCATTTTCACTTTTATTGTTTATCTCAGCATTGTTCTCTTCAGACATGGCTACTGTACTCACTGCTTCAGACTCATAAATAACATCTTTATCACTCCCACCAATTGTTTTGAGGGGTAATTCTGTACCTGAAATAGTGTAGCAATATCTGTATACAAATTAAACATTATACTATTGCAAAATGCAATTTAGAAAATGGATTTGATGCAAGAAGGATGCAGGATTCAGGACACTGTTTTTGATCATCTACATATCGTACAGAAGGCGTACGTGTAGATTACCGAAAACAATAAAAAGTGAATTATTAAGAGTGTGTTTTTCAGTTGTCGACTTTTTGCTCATTTGTTTTTCAGAACAATTTCTTTGTTTATTATTGAGGAAGTGTGTATGTGAGTAATGAGAAAAAAAATTTTACCTGACGAGACTAAACTCCCCAACTGTTTTTGTCGTGCTAAGACTGCTGGGCAACCATTTTGTATGTAAATCACCTTGTCGCTCTCTTCGCGAGCATACGAATTTGGCTGAGTCATTGCTGATTCTGTATTTGTTATGCACTCGCCCTCCGCATAAAAGTACATCACAGACTGAAGCAGAACGAAAAAATAATATTTTTATGGCGGCTATTTCAAGTGAAGAATAAACCACAGATGGTAAAAACTATTTCTACTGCTAAAAGTTGGTTGCGTGAGTATAATTTCAATTTTTTCATCTACGGCTAATCTACAGCATCTGCTGACATCCATCAAAACTTAAAATTTATTCTTTCTTTACAAATTCACTGCTCTATTATTCTAAGTTGTGAACCAAAACAAACTCTGCACTGAAAATTTTCATTAAGGCACTGGGCGATACATTCTTCAACTGATGTTGCAGCAGAGACGTTTCTAGCATAACCAATAATTACTGATTGGTCAGCTTTCAGGAACTGACTATTTGCACATTCAGCGGGTACTTTCTCTGATGTTACATTACATTATATTACAAAACAAAAGAGATAATAAGTTTGATTTTTTTATCGGCAAAAATTAAATTAATGGAATTATTATACCTGTCAAAACTCTAATGAATAGACTGAAACATGTATGCAAACACTGAAATTTCTGTTAAAAAATTTGGGAATTAAAATGGAATACGAAAACTATTCATATCATTGAAAATTTAAATTCTTTAAGGCATGAAAACATTTGATTATTGATTTTGTCGCATGATCAACTCATAATTTTTTACATCTGTTGTAATTTCCTGTTCATTCCAAAATTATTTTTGCTTGAATGGATTCATAAAGTAACCTTTTATTTTCAATTAGAAAAATCAGTCCAAATTTCGTTGGCATGAATCTCGATGTTTACTAAGGCAGAGTAACTTCAATTTTAATTTTATTTTTAAGAAGTTAACAGGATTCAGGTAGTACTGTATGTTAGTCTGTAACCTAGGAGTAATTAAAAATGTCTTATCACCTGGAAGATTGAATGTTGTGTTAATCCAGTCTTCTAGTCTTATCGGCTAGAGGACTGGATTTACAATGCTTATATTTCAATTTTTTGAACCTGGAGATCAGTAGAAATGAATATTTGAAACATGTCTTCAATTATTTTAAAAAAAATGAAAAGTGATATGGAATAAGCAAAATAGAGGTGGAAATAATGATTCTTGATTACCTCTGAGGCAAAATTTCTCGAAGAAACGTTTGCCTGGAGCAACTTCTGTTTCCAAGTCACTTTCTGGATAGCTTCTTGACCGATAAATCTTGCAGACAAAAGTTGCATGATCATAAACAAATGATGCACACAATATTGTTCGACCACTATTATCCTTGGAAAAACATGTTTGGCATTCAATAAAACATGAAAAAATGTGTGTAGAATAGAAATATGTCATTATTTTTTGAATATCGAATCATGCTTATAAATAGCTTTAGAAATATAGGGGACCAAAACCATAATATGAAATAAAACAAAGATGAAACTAAAATGAACAGAAACATACTAAAATACTTTTCCGTTTAACACTGGCTTACTTTTAACAAGTATGTTTTTATTGAAAATATAAATTTGTTTTGCAAACTCGAAGATGGACTTACTCTGTTCTCGCTGCACATTTTTAAGCACACTTCTTCGGTAACATCTTCATAAATTAGTGAACTGCTTGAAACAAGCTGTCTATTGTCTGATACAGTAAATGCACTCACACGATTTTCACAAAATGCTAAATTTTTGGATCATTAATTTTTGATAATAATTTCTTTATTTTATCATTATTTTTTCTATGAAATGCCATATTTTTGAGTTTCGCTCCAAAAGGAAAATTGAAACTAAAGAATTCTGTAGCTATGAAATTTTCTTTGAAACATAAATTTCTTACATTCATAAAACAAGATTTTACAAACTTTGTCTTTACCTAACGCATTTTCAATTTTTTTTAAACTCTATGAAACAATCAGTTCATTAGATATGCGTAAATAGAAAACAAGTGATAATTTATTAACTGCTATATGCAGAGGACGAAAATCTGAAACAAAAAAAGTTAATAAAAAGATTATTTGGTTGTCTGCATTTTGCCTCATAAACAAATTTGTCAGAAAATTCAAGAATGGTACCTTCAATAGGGAACTCATTTCGTCTAATTATCTCTCTAACATATTTGATACTATTGTCGCCATGAATGGTTGTGAATTGTATGTAATTAGCGATGAAAATAGAAGCTATTAGGTGTAGACACCTCATTTAAAGATAAGATTGGACAATTGAGTGAATTCAAATATAATGATTGCAAGTATAGCAAACTGTTGTTATCTCTGGAATAATGATAAGTGAGGAAGTTGGGATTCTTGCCACCCTTGGTGGATTAGAGAAAAAGCCTGAAAATGTTAGTGGTATTGTTGTAAAGGCAACAATCAAATAGCGCATAAATATCAGCCAAAACAAACGATTGCATAGAAGTTTTGTAGAGAATAAGTTGTATTGTTGCCAACAAGATCAAATGCAACTGATACTGACAAAGCTTTAAACGTCGATTGCACATTGCACATTCCATAACTACCACCCTAAAACCGATAATGTTTTGGGTCATCACCTAAATTTCTTCGACATCATTTTCAACCGTGCTGATTTCGGAATGTATCAGAATGAACAGCAGTGGACATCATCCACACTTTCAACCTACCACCTCTCTGTTGTCTCTGATGGAATTTCGTGCATTCCACGCACTATTCCAGAATATAATGAGTGTGTGTGATTCTGTTCGGAGCAGTGTTACCAGTTTTAATTTCCATCATTACCACTTGAACAAATCACCCATTTCGATCCACTAAACTTATCAGTCACTCTGAACTTTTTAGCAAAAAATACTGAAGAAAGTGATCTCATCCATTTACTGTTGCATACCCTATTCCATTAGATTTATATCCATATATGCAGTGACTATTTTGTCATTCTCTTAAGTTTTTAGTATTTCAAAAACTTTTGCTCACTTCATATAATCAACAATCTGCCAATGCATTTTTGTTATCCTTTCAACCACTTACATTTATTTAGCTGTCATCTGATTTTGACTGCAATAGTTCTATCGAATTTCACAAACACTTGATACCTCCATCACTACAAGATATTGAAACGAGTATGCGATTGAAGAGCATCAGGTACCACAAGCAGTAATGAGAAATTCACTTTGCAACATAAAGACTACAAAGTTGTGCAGTGTGGGCAATAAAAGCTTAAAATCAGATATGAAAATTAAGGGACTAACGGGTTGTTTCGTTACAAAACAGTTTTAACTAAACGCTGGTTTTTTTGAAACCAAGTAATAATTTTTATTTTCAAAATGCATCGCAAAAATTATGTTATCAAGACTCGAATTCTCAAAATCTTATTTCTTGAACGAAAAATGCGGTAGATGATGAATAATTTCGGTTATGTCGTAAAACAATGTAATTTAGGAAACTCAATTTTTTAGAAGTTTATCTTTGAAGAGTTGTTTATGTGACTGAAATGCTGAAATAATAATGAGTACTAATAATCAACCTCATCAGTCATATTCATTTTTTTCAACTTTTTCGACAAAATCAATTTATTGTATCCAAGAAATAAATGGCAAAAACATGTTTGAGGAGAAGATCTCCTTAACATACAGACTACATATTTTTAATCAGTGTTTTCTGAATCATTTCATATTCATTCTCTCGGTTCTTGAATTGTATAGTAATTCTAATTATTATACTGTAAACTTGTATTTAGTTGTGATACTGTCTCTCGTGTTGAACTTTAATAATTTACGGAAGTTGTAATCATGATATTTGTTGGTTGTTTCTTCTGATCATTCTTATTATGTGAAAATCATTCGCTCAAACAAATGATGACATTAAACAAAAGATAATTCAAGACATTCATGTTTTGCTTGACAAGAAGCAATTAATAATAATATACTCTCACTAGTCCGAGTGAAAATTCATATACATTTTGATTCTGAATCTTATGTGAATTAAACAAACTTCAAAAACAAATCTTTAAAACTTTTTGTTGTAAGACAACAAACATATCCCAACATACATCAAGATTTATATGATTGAAAAATCATATTGTAGCTACAACGACCATCTAATATAGGTTACATATTAATGAGTTTACTTACAGGAATCAAACTTCAGATGCGTTAGTGCTTAAAAATTGAAATAATTTTTTTAGCCATTACGTGATGTCTCATCATGAATCAATGGTCTCTTGTTAACTTATAATCATGCCCGAAACTAAAATTTCAAATGTGATAAACAAAAGAATTTGTGCAACCTGTTACCACTACTTTTTTATGACAGTGTACAGTGACTTCTGTACTCCACCTCACTTTTACCGTAGCTTTCAAAGAAAAATTTGCATCATATAAAAAGTAAGACAGTTATTGCGCATTTAGTCAGGTCAGGAAGGCAAACAATTTTTGAAGAAAAATAAAAATCTTTGTTCAGCATGAGTTTATCATTAAAATTAGTACCAAAAAAACTGGTATGAAAACATGCAAATCACTAGTACATTTCAACTTCAACTTGCCTGATTATTTTAGAAAAACTCATTTTTTCTAAAATAAATAATAATTTTGAAATGATAAAGTGGTTCTTAGTTATGTCTTTGAATAGACAAGATCTAACTTCTAATAAATTAAAGGTATAATGCAAGCTACTATTACAAGTCTTTTAATTGAATTAATCTATGTCTGATCAGTCCAAGATTTATATCTTGTTTTTGATTAGACTTATTGGTACAATTGATTCGGTAACTTTATTTTATAAATCTTACCAATAATTGCCTGCTTAACGACACTCTTGAAAGAATCCATTTATTATATGTGGAACAAATGTTAGCTGCATGAAATAAAATTTATATCAAATGAATTTTTTCTTAAATTACTGGCTAAATCTGATTACTACTCGCAGTTCCCCTTTGATGAATGTACGAATAATCCTGTCATTCGTGCAAGACGTTTCTATTAATATCATCATAATCCATCATTGTACGAAGTTTGTACTTTCATTTAATTCCGCACTAACTGCGTATATCATCACACTTCTTGTTAATAAAAGCAATTAATAAAATTAATCTTGATGGATTTCTTCGCAGCATATTTTGAATAATCTGCTTGGCAATTATTTATAAATGACGAGACACACATTAGTATCCATTCTCAACGTACTGGTACTTAAATAATGATGTAAAAAGCTGAACTTTTGATAAGTCAATGACTGTATCAACAATTGATGATTAGAACATGCATTACAGTACTGCTATACAAGAAAAGTACAAAAATTTTGATCTCTTGCGATATGCTCTACATATGACATGTAACTGTCTTTTTTGTAATGATACTTGTCATTAGTAGACAAGCCAAGAATTATAATCCACGAAACCTTTTTCCACCTGCACCACACAACTTCCAACGACATCGTGTGTCGCGCTGGAACAATTCTGAAATAGGTTAGCAAGGCTTAGTTCAGTTAATGATAAATATATTACTTTGAGGTTACTTGGAATTAGAGGAAAGTCAATTTTCGGAATAGTTCAGGAAAAGAAAGGAGAAATGGAGAAAAGCACATTTACTGTTTCAGAATAATAGATCCATCTTTCGCTTATGGGAATTAAATCATCGTGAGCAAAAATATAAAAAATAGAAATTGCCCTTCAAGCCAATTTGATCAATATGAAAGGCCTTAACCCTTCTTCAATTTATTTAGAAATTAACAACTTGAAATTGATGAATAATATAGAATTTATCAAGTGAAAACAAGACTGGAAAATGAGCTTGTTTCTTGCTGAAAAATCCTGCAAAAACAAAAAATAAAATTAGTCTGTTGTAATTTATTAAAAGAAAGCAACATCATGTTCGCAAAAGATTTGAAAAAACATATGAGACTTGACAATTCATATGATAATATAAAATAAACATAACGAACAAAGTACAATAAATGATACTAAACATGGAGCAAAAATTGACAGATTTGCTGCATAAAATATCGAAAGTGTAAAAATTTCGAAAGCCGTGAATTAAAAGGACTCTGATTTTGTGAAGAAATTAATCATTATTATATAAGTTTCCTTGCGATTCAAAAATGCTAAAATATGGGCAAACTTAGGCTACCTTCGTGAAGAATAGGAAACCAATTGATGAAATTAGCTGAATAGTTATCGTCTTCGACTACTGGAATCAGATTCCTATAGTTACTAGTCTGAAAAAAGGAAAATTTTCAAAAATAACTGAAGTAATATTACTGCAATGTTTGCTGCCTTCATTTGTAGGCTTGCTTCATCACTTCAACAATGCAATTGTCTCTGAGTACTTTTTACATGAATTCGATTGAATGGCAAGCGTAATAAAGTGTAGACACCAATTCTATTCTCATAAGTAGACACAAATCATTAATTTCATCAAATGGGATTATTCATCGACACAAAAGTCACTGATTCTTTTCAAAACAATCATAGACAGCTTTAATTCACACATTACTCTTGCATTATAAGCGGCCTCAGCCACTTTCCAAAATCGCTCCAGTTAACTACACAAGTGACACGCAAATTGCTGCAAGGTGGTACCGCAAAGTACCTTACTTCCAAAATAGCTAAGCAATTACAGTTGTTGCATTAAAATCTCATCGTAGTTGGCTATACATCACTTTTGATACCACTGCTTCACACTCTGAGCGCAAACCATTTATTTAGCATAATTATGTCTGTTATTTCTAATCTTCCATTATTCAGTTCCTTCAATCAACTTAACCTTAAGAAAATACCAGACGTTAATTATGTAGCAATTCCACTTAGATATGTAGTCCATAACTTTTTGAAAGTCTTGTTCAACTAGCTGTGTCTATTTGTCAACCGATTAATAACAGAAAACAGCAATAAACCAGAAATCCATATTATACGCGAAGTTAGTCATATCAAGAATAAAGACTGGATTTCTGAATACTACACCAAAACCCCCCATCTCCGATGAATCTTGCACAATCTTATTTTTTGTACCGTTTGAATACTGCGATCAAAACAGACTCGTGAAAATTCATTACTGATTTTAAGTACCTAACATGATAGCTGGCAAGACTTTTAAAATGACCAAGCAGGCATGAAATAAATGTAGTTGTATTTCTGATTCTTGCTACCCAATATTGTTCAACACAAAGATTAATACAACACCCGATTATACCAATTCTTAATCATTTCACAAAGGTAGGAAACAAAAGTTAATTACCAGTGTAGCAGGAACTATGATTGAGAGCAAAGCGAAAATGAACACCGCAGAGAATTTCATCTTGGAATCTGAATATGGGTGATTGCCGAGTTGTTCACAGGGCGGGCTACTACACACTCCAAAACACAAACCATACATATTCAGTGGATTCGCATTAAATGTCACCAATAGCTACGAATTCCTTAATCCCTACTACAACCTTCCTCATTACACTCTCCTCCCATCATAATATATTACATTTGTGATTGCAAATTGATTTGGACATTGAACATAAAATGATTTGCAGTACGGAAAAATGCACATGTATAAATCAATACAAAACAATTATCTCACTTAATTCCTCAATATGTAAATGATTATAATTTGTAATACTTAATATTACTAATTTAAAAAAAAGCTTTCTAAATGAACCCTTATTTTCATAACGATACAATAAAAAATTATCGACGTAATTGTTATCACTTGACAGCAGCATTGAAAACACGCTCCATATGCTTGCAGGCATCATCAGCACCAGAAAAAACGTTAGTTTGAAAAACGTGACATTTCATCTTCTTATTCAAAGGTTTCTGTACCAAAAAACCGACACAGAATTGACCAAAACCATTTTCATAAGATACGCATTGCACGATATTGAAAAGTGCTATTCGATCCAAAACTGTTCCATCAGATATATCCGTTAACTGAAAAAACGAAAACACATATTTCCTCAACATGAAAATGTGTAGCTCCATAAATTTAGTAATACTCCACAAACATATAAGACGTTACACATGCGGCATCAAGCAAAAATTCCGAGCCATGAAGCAATCAATACCTTTAAACCATGTTTCGTCACATCCAGAGAAACACGCCTGCTCTTTGACAAATCACTCGACAAAATTCCGCGATGCTGTGCATATTCGATGATATCAATGAGTTGTTCTTCACTCGAACGCTGTTCAGTTGAATTACCACCCGAAAAACCAAAACCGTAGCCCGCTGAGTCATCCAGAACACCAAGATAATAAAAAAGCTGCATACTATCGCCATAAGGCTTCATGATTATATTCTACAAAAACTATCGATTGCAAAATCAAATTTATTTACAAAAATTGTTGTTTCGCTCAAACCAACACTAAATGTGCTTATTGCTGTTATACCATGAACTAAATCTACCATTACATCATCAGCTGCAAAATATTCTGATGAAATTCCTGGCCATCTTAAGAATGAAAAGAGACTTATGTTACTGTTCCGATCATAGTGCGAAAATATTCAATCTACTATTTCTTCCTAAATCTCAGACAGACTACTGTAATGCATGAAGCAAGCAAGTTTGATGCGAAAAGCGTATTTTAAATCCATTAAATACAAAAAATTTATTTAAACAACACAGAGGATTTTACTCCATTGGAACAGGGCTGAATCACAACAGAGATAATGATATCAGATGGCATCACATGTAAAAGAGTAGAAAAAAGATAACAGAATATAGTATAAATTCCACAATTATTAGATACCCGATATACTATTCTGATAAAACAGAAAAATTCGGCAATTTACAAGTCAAATTTGTTTTTGAACGTATCTGACTGCATATAATAAAATATTCGCCACTTTTCATCAATAAATAAAAATCTGATAAATGAAATCTCAAGGCTCAGTCCATAACTCGTAACTCCGCTACTATGCAACAGTAACAATTGAGAAGTGACTTTTACATGTGATAAATCAAAATATAACAATAAAATGTTTCTTAATCAAGCTTACACAAATGCTTATTACGTAACAATAATTTATATTCGAAAAATGTAGTAACAAAATAACAAAAAGATAAGAAAAATGTGGAAGTTTTAAAGCAATAACAGTTTACTTTTCAAATATGGCATGGCATTAAAGGAATACAGTGGTGAGAGAGGTGCTCGATAAACAAATAAGATACAAAGTGCGTGATACACGAATATGTGGCACCGAAATAAAAAGTGTTAAGATCATTATAAAATTCTTACTTCAGTTCTTCCAGTCGATAGCAATACTGATATGAGGATCGGATAAGATTATATGGAAAACAAGATTCCAGAAGATCAAAAGATAAATATGGAGTGCTCCTGATTAACTGAAAAAAAATAAAAATAATATTCCAATTGCAAGCTACAGTATCCATTTTGGAAAATTATTTTACATCTCGGTCAACTACTATTCACCAAAGTTTGAAACTGTATTGAGCCATTTCTTTTACAATTAATGTGGTATAGGCTTTTACTTGAATGCTTCAAATAGTTTTTGTTGTCTACATAACGCAAAATAGCGTTTTCACTGTTTCTGTCACAGCCAACTCTGCTTATGACAATGCTTCTATTGGTATTTACTCAGCAGCATCGGTTTTGTTCACAGAATTAATTTAAAATACAAATTAACTATAAATTTATGCAATACAAAATGTATTGCAACGAAAAAAATGAGAAATTCATGGAAATTAGAGAAGTGATTCACCTGATCAAGTATAACATAAACATATTGTCGTGACTTCAAAACATCGATCTCATGGTTATCTTCTACAAATCTCAAAAGACTATTGGATGCCAGCTGAAACAAAAAATTATACATAAAACAAGTGATAAATAAAAGTGTATCTTTTCGTACTATATAGTGACTAACTATTTTGAAAGAAACTTCTAAATTTGTATGAAAAAAATTACTGCAAGAAATTCTTTCATTCTTTCAACGATATCATTACGTCCGTGTAAATAAAACAATGCATTTGCAACTGCTGACACAGCCAAAGCTATACACTGCAAGTTGTTCTTTGAAACTGCAAATTCAATGAAGATTTCAAAACAAAAGATCCCAGAATAAAACATAAAGTACTTAAACTTTGTCAACAAGTTTATAAAATTAGAGAATTCACACAAATTAATACGATAACTGCATATTCAATATGAAGGCAGCAACAAGATTGCGTTATATATTAAAAATTCAAATAAAATAAGGAAGTAATTGGAACCTTGTAATGTAGCACTAAATTGACTACTTTGCGTCAATGCAAGTCTAGGCAGTGAAAATGCTATGAACACAAGCAGAAGACAAGATAAAGTATAATGTTCATCTGGTTCTGTTTGTTTCGTTTGAGCTCGAATTGCATATACTAATGCTACATCCACATCTGTTTCAATGCCAACAGCCATACACAACTCAGAGAGAATCTAAATAAATATTTTTAATGAGTTATATATATATATAACTCATTAAAAAGACTAAAACTGTATTACAAAATTTTGGAATTCCGGTAACAAATCACAAGTAGATGATAAGTTTGTTTCAGTTTTTAAATGATTAGAATTAGAAAACCGATAGATAAAAAATCAAGAATTTTGAACTATTTGAACAACAGAACCCAGTTCCATATTCAAAACGAGTTACTTTCAGTAGGAGGACTGAATTTCTATATATATGCATGCAAATTATAAGTACTTCTCAAGTTGCAAAAAATTAGAGTCCCTTCTGATTATATTTTAAAGTTCTGTATTCTTTAAAAATGCGATTCATCTTTTATAAATTGAGTAGAAATTACCAGTAAATTATGTTCGTCAGCTGTATCATGCAAATCTCTCACAATCGACAAAAGGAATGGCAGTCGGCGTTCGAGAACATCATGAAGAGCGGCATGCAATAGAGAACGAAATGATAAGATTTCACCGATGATAATAACACGCTGCAACACTGATTCCATTGGCCCACTAATCAAAACCTGTAATATAATATTAAGTAGTTTTGTAAATTTTACGATAGATCATCCAGTGCTTAACAAATAAGCGAAATGGGAATTTTCATTAAAAACCTTTAAATAAGTATTAAACAAGTACTTTTTTTAGTCATTTTTGTCTTCCTACCAGCTAACGACTTTCAAAAAATCAGAAGTATAGAAATTCAAAACCCTAGCTTACTTGTTTCCTATCCCTTGTTTCACCACTTAATTGCAACAACAACTCCTTTATTTTCTCTGGTTTATCAAAACAACTACGAGCCAATACTAACGCATCTCGATGTTCGTTAACAATTTTATTCAGTTCAGTTATTTGACTTGCTATATGCCATATCAATTTTTCACTCATGATTTTCACACCGTATGGTCCAAGGAGCTGTGAAAGAGCTCTCAATTCTGTAAATACAAGAAACCATTGAAATCCAAGAGCAATGTAATACTCCAAATTACAAGCAATATCTCTCTGAATGAGTTATAAATTATGAAAAGTATAGTAAGTAACAAATGTTAACAACGGTTTTATGTCACTTGAGATCTGCTACTACAAAATTTCTTTACATTTTTTCAATGTCATAACGAATCTATAATGATACGGTCAACATACTACCAAAGTTGTGAATACAAAAATGTCAAGATATAACGATCAAAAGCCTGGAATATGATATATTACCACGGTTGTCTGTGTACTGATCAGGATTAAATGTTTGCTGATAATCAGAATTTGCAATCAATGCGGCGCAGTGAGAGGAAAAAAGTATTTGTCCAGTGCTTACCCTACGAAGTAGAACTTCAAGATACCTAAAATGTTAGATTATTTTATAACTGTTATGTGAGTGACAAATAAGTTACAGAATTTGCATGAAATACTGGAACTGAAAAAAGAAACCCAATCCTGTTTCTTGAATCTTCAGAATTTTCAAATCACAAAAATTTACCACTTCGTGTAGATAGAAGTTAAAGTGTCATGACCATGGCAATCTTGAGACTGAGTCTGCTGCAAAAGTACGCTGTTAAAAAGACGAGTGACATCCAAAGTTGCTGAAAATTTCGTACTTAAACTCACTTGTGATTGACAATTGAAACTTTCTGAATCTTGTTTAACGGTGAGTCAAATGCAGAAAGTTTGACTAATATATAACCAATATCAAATATGTCACCTATAGTGTCCAAATGTTGCAAGATAGCCATATGAGCGTTTATTGAGGCTAACAGCTGACAAGGTCTCATAGGAAATTCAGATGATGATATTAATGCTTGTATCGACACTGTCAGTTGTGACTCCAGATATTGTATAAGATACTCTCGAGGAGCAAATACATGATCAGATACAACCACCTCCCTCAAAATCAAAAATTAACATACCACAAGCATAGCTGGTAGAGATTACCTCGTAAAAAATATAATTTCATTGCACGTTTACCGAGATGAAGTAACTGCTGAACAAAGCTCATGAAGTGCAGTTTGCAATTTATCAGCCAAAGTTAGTACATCTCGACTGCATCGAAAGCTTTCTTCTCCAGGCATAACCAGAGTCCGAGTCATATTTGTACTTTTACTTGCTGAAACATGACCACATAAAAATCTTAGGATAACCTGAAGATATTTTAAATATTACCAAATAGATCTTGAGGGAAATCACGACTCTTAAAAATAAATACTCAAGTTCCGTAGTGCCTATTTGCTAAAAAACTAACTATACATTTTCGAGAATTCCGATATAGAACGATATTTCGTATATTATTTTTTAAGTACTCAAAAAAAAATTCGAATTTTTGAGGAAGAAATTATGCAAGTTGTGACCAGTCAATCTCATAGCTAAGTAGCTTGCCAATCTCAAGGATGAAAGTAGCAAAAACATAAAGATTTTCGATGTTAGAAACCAGTCTGACATTTCTGCTTATCATGTTCCTCAATCAGTCTTGCACAATTGCTGGGTGAAAGTTGTTCGGATAATCGCATTTCGTGTTCACACAATCGAGAAACAATAGAAGCAATTTCCTTTGCCAATTCATCCAGAACTACATTACATAATTTCAGACTCTGGAATCAAAACAAGCTTTCCAAAATGAATTTGATAACTTTCAAACAAAAAACACAACTAATTAGAAAAGCTGAACTGAAAATGAGTTATAACAATTTTTCAAACCCGATCAATAATATAAGCTTTTTCCTCTGGACAAAGATCATGCAATGCAGAACGAAAATGTGAGCATATATGGGCAAAGGAAAGAGTATAACGAGACTGAGATGGCAGTTGAAGACACTGATGTAACTGAGTTTCTAGCTGTTGAACATAAAAGCTGCAAAGATTATTCAGAAAAATCAAAACTCATTTTGGAAGTCAATCTTTTACATATTACGTTAACTCCTGATTAGATGAGATAATGAGCAAAGAGGACACTAGTTCTTATGACCAAAAACAAACTATGAAAAGTAAAGGCCAAAAAAACTCAAATATCGACCAATAAATTGATAAGTCGCTTGTTTCTCGAAGCATTTCATCTATAAGATCGATCATTTTAAGGTGAAAAATAGTGGTATTCATCGTGACAGCTAAACGACGATCACTGGCCAAAGAATAAGTTGAACAACACATGCTAACATATGCTTGAAAACGAAACCAATCCAAACGCAATGACCGTAAGTCAACACTATTATCTAAAAAAGGTGACGTTGTAAAAAAACTTTTATTCGAAAATGAAAAACTACATTTTCGAAAGGAATGGAAAAAAATGCGCTTCATTCATATTTTTACTGAAATTAATCATCAATATAAAAAATGCGTATAAGCGCATATAAGCAAGTTAAGCGCACTTCCTCACTCACGTTTTATATGTGACAAATCAGAACAAAAGTCGGATAACAACACAGATTCCTTTTCGCCTAAATGTTCAATGGACTGTACAATATCAGTTAAAACAGGTGCGTCATATCCACTCACGTACTGCGAATAATATCGCTTAATAACTCCTTCATGTTGCTGAACCATTGAACGCAACTCCAACATGTAGTACAGCAATTCAGGCAATTGCCTTGAAACTTTGAGAACCAATCACGGAATTATAGTATTATACAAAACTAATCAGTCACAACGTTTTTAAGAAAATTTAGATCTATTTCCAAATATTATAAGGTAAAGTTGAAAAAATATTCAAATAACACGTCAATAATTTTGTAATGAATAGATCACAATACAAGCCAAAACAGCTACTTTTTATATTGAAAACGATATATACCAACACCAACTTGTCCACTATTTCATCGACATGCTTCGTCTTTTTACCACCACTTAATGGCCAAATGCTGATATGTCGTAGAAGCCACAACACTTCATCTCTTGAAAATGAAAGAGCCATCCAAACAAACAAGATTTTAGGTCCCAAGAGACCCACTTGATCTTTGATTAGTAAACAAAGTTCTCGTAGAGTGCCACGGAGAAAACGACGCCGGTCACGATGGACCGCAAGACTGTAACTTCATTGCTTGAATTAAACGAAAAGAAATATGATAATTACGTTTGTAGCGGTAACTAAGTACCAGGCATAAAAATTGTTCTAACTAATAATTTTAGTTTCAAAGGAAAAACATGATTCTATATAAAACTCTGAATCTATTTACAGAAAAAAACATTGAAGGATAAGAACCTTGTTTGCAATGCAACAGAATAATGATCTTTTACTTCTTGGAGTCTCTTACCATAACCCTTGATGTTTTCAAAAATACTTTGCACTGTCTGATGCACAATGAGTATTTCATCCCTAGAAATGTCAGTTGATGGTTTTATAAAAAGTCTCATAAAAAACAGGAATGCAACACCAAAAAAACAATTTTTTTCTGATATAATAAACACAGTTTTTCAGATTTCACGGATACATGAAGGATATTTGCTTGTACAAGTAGAACTTTAAGATTCATATATGTTTATCGATCAAAGGAAAGAAATATATTGTACCAACCTAAAAAGTCGTATGGCCAAACCTGTTTGCAAAGCACGTTGCCACAAGTTCGCAATTACAGGATCATTTAAAAGTATGTTGTGGCAAGCGAGTACACCCACTGCAAACTAAGATTAGCAAACTAAAAAATAAAAAAGGAGAAAGGTTTTCATTGTAAATGAAATCTAGCAATTGTTGACAACTTGCACATTACAATTTTGTAACCCATAAATACGAAGCAACATAAAACTGAAACAAGGTGATATTTAACTTGATGATTCATAATATCACACCATTATAACTGCATTATAAACAATTTTAAAAAATTTAAATACTAAAAGCACTTACTAATTATCCATCGGTCCATAACATCTAATGACAGGTATTCGCAAGCTATCTACAAAATATTTAATAATATGATGTATGAAGAAAAAGTTAACTAATGATTTGCTTTCTGCCAGATAATTATTCCTCTATTATATTCTTCCATAAACCAGTAGAAGAAACATCAAAAAACAAAGATCGAACATTAGCTTTAATGTCTTCAGTTTAATCACAACAAAGAATAACCTATTATCATTATTCGCTATTACTGAATTTTGAAATTTAAGTTTTTACAAGCTCGAGAGATTTCATGTAAGCTATCACTATTATGATTTACGAATAGTATGCAATCAAATGCGTAAACCGAACAACACTGAACCTTGAACTTCAAGTAAGTAAATTCCAACTCAAATGAACAATGAAAGTTACAAAAATATTGAATTACTTTCCCTTCAAGTATTTCTGATCCAAATTTTTACCGTGTCTGTTTGGGCAGCATACAGTATTTGTTGTGGAGAAGCAACAAGAGATAACATTTGTGCGTTACGCCATGCATCTGCAGTTATATTTCTACGCACATAAACCGTACCAAGTGAAGATAGCGAATCATGAATTAACTATAACTAGCAGCTTGTCAATGAAAGTTTTTTTTGAATAAATAAACTATAGACCTGAAAAGGAGTTGAAAATCTGATATATTACTCTGTGACAAGATATTTTAAGAGATCGTAACACGCCATCCATGCACTTTAAATAAGCCATGAAACACGAATAATAATCTATTGCTATAAATAAAAGGAATGTAGAATACCCTGTTAAGCGGTCCTAAATCTTCGGCCAGCCTTTTCCAAGCATTATCATAATCAATGATCATTTGTCCTAGTCTTGGGAAAGTAGGTTCACTTTGTCCATTACTTAGTTCGTAAGCAGCATTAAATAATCCAAGAACAGCTCTTCTATCTTCTATTCGGGATAGAAGCACCATTAACGATATCAAATTTATCACCAGATTCATGTAACCAGCAGTTAATTCATAGCCTGTGGTCTGAAAAAACACCATACTTAAAACTACTGCATTAGAAATGCTTGCTTAAAGAGCATATTGTTGAAATATTACCCTTCGAATATAAACTGACATTCATAAGCAAAAAAAAATTACAATATCCATTTTGAACTGCGCAGCGTCCATTGTTGTCAGCAGCTGCATAATATGATCCTTTAAATCTAATAAATCAGCAAAGGTACAATAATACAACGAAAGTGATTTTAATATTTCTTGCTTCATTAAACTCACGTGATAAAATAATGCCTAAAAAGGTGGTATTATGAGTATTATACAAAAAATAACCCACATTTTATTTGCATTTCAAAAAATGAGAGCGGAGAGTCCATGTTAGAGATAAACAACAAATACACAATGATGACCAGTGTTTCGCCTCAAACGGCAAGCTTGGAGATTGAATAGAAAGCCCAATATTGTTATATTATTAGAAAGGGCACATTTTTTATCCAAAACATAGGACAACCAACGTAACAATTCTATCGGTAATATCATAGCAAAAGAAAAGAAATGTAACTTACGTTATTTGATCTAGCATCAACGACAGGAAATTTGCGCACTATATGTTTGATACAACTTTCCAATGACTTCTCACTCAAAAAATGAGGTTTTGACTTGGAATCACCACAGCCTTTCTTAATATTGTACAACCTTGTGAGCATACCTACTGCTCGGTCATTCAGAATAATCAGCTTTTCAGCTACTTTCATCTGCATCACGTCCATTTTGCATGCCATGAAATTAGTGAATTATTTTCCTCGCACCCTAAACAATATGGAAAGCACATGAAACCATAACGAAGATAAAGAAAGTGCAGCAGCACGAGAGCGACCTTAAGCAATATTTCTTAATATTAGCAAGACGCAAAAGCTTAAACTGCATACACGCTAACATGTGCACAGATGTTTACTATCAAAAAATAAAAGTGAGTCAGACTGCCCGAGAGGTCAAAAATTGCTTTGCGAAGCTGGAAAGCACATAAAGATGGAAGAATTCTAATTGCACATATTGCAGAAATGGACTAAGGGTATCCACTCTTGACCCCTTATAATATTATTAGCGGCTGTTCCCCTCACAATGAACAAAGAGTGACCGGCACTACGCAAACGCTAGGCATGAGTATGTTCAGACAGAACGCACGTATAACGGAAATACTAACTCTAGACCGCTGCTACAGTTGGTCAATGCAAGCATTGAAGCGTTATATACATTGTTTTAAATTGCTGGTAAATTTCACGCAGTCGATAAAATTGTTAAGTATTAACGACTGTCTCGAGATTATTTGTTCAGTTACGCTTTCTTTCTACCATTCTGCATTATACTTTCTTTGGTTGTGTTGTCTTTGGCAAGCGTTACAGCTAATATATTATTTCTGAATAATGCATTACTTTTATCATCAGTATATATGTTGATTACTTTTGATTATCTTCTTTACCATTGCATACCACTATAACACCACTTTCTTGCTATTCAAAAATTGCCATAATTGAAATGTCGTATAGATATCTGGGAATAACTGGCTTATGTATTTCTTCCTATTCTCGATATCTTTATTCTTGTGCAAACAAATCATAATTTTGTGCCCAGCATATGTCGGATTTTTTCGATCACGTATAGAGTCCAGGACGAAAGGCAAGGGTGAATAATCTCAGCAGTATTGTGGAAGCCTGAAATAGATACTTATTGGTCTTTTCCTCCTTAGTTCGCGTGAAAAAATTTTTCACTGTAATAGGGGCCTAAAATCCGTCTCAGCATGCATTTAGAATTTGCTTGTTTTCCCACATTAAACAGAATGCATACTTGAACATTAAGATGTTGGTAGTAGAGTAGCGGAAATGAAAGTTTCATCTCGTGCAAAAGAACTGCTGGAAATGTACCTTTGTTGATTTTTCCTTTCACTCTTATTTCTAAAGCACGTTGAAAGATGTCTCAGTGATTTATATATGTTAATGTGCAAAAACAAGAAGAAAAAATCAACAAAATAGAAACTTTAGTTTGTCTCGTGATACAATACTATGAAAGTAGTGAAATTATGAGGAAATGAAGTGCATTTCGTTCCAGGGTAATTCTTATGCCATCTGGTTGGTGAAAGTTTCGTATTTAAAGTAAGGGCAGTGGAACACATGATCATCAATGAATCGGATATAATTCTTGTATCAGACAACGAAAAGAGGGAATCACAAAAACACGAGTAATTAGTTCTTTTTTCATTCAGTTCACATCTCAATTTTTCAAATCATTTCTTACCTTCTAGCAGTATCTATTTTGATTATTAGGCATAACCATTTCCAATGTATGGAAGTTTTGCTTGATGCGATGTGATAACTGTGTCGATTTTTTACCCCTTGTTTTTTTTACTTGGCAGAAATTCTTCAAGGAGCCTTCGTCTTTCATTTTCTGAGGAATCGGTCAGTTTTAAGAGTTATAATGCAGAAAGCGAACACTTTCATATTTCTTCTCAGATATCTTGCGGATCAAGAAAGGTTATTTTCTCCATCCAGTTCAAAAAAATAAATCAATTTGTATTTTATGTATGCCAAAAAATGAGGACTTACAAATGTCCAGGAAGTACTTGTTTTAGTTTCATGGGATTAATGAAGTTAACATAGATCCTTTTGTTCTTTTTTTAAAAATTCCATATGCCATAGTTAGTTTTATGATTGTCATAATTAATTTTGGTTTGTGTTGATTCCTAATGTATGTTTTGCACAAATAACTTTTTAACGTGATTATTTAAATAGTTCTGCTTTATTTATATTACGTTCATGAGATTTAGAAATCTTCACGAATGGAACAAGCTATTTGTATACTCTGTTCCTACAGTAAACTACGAAACATCTCATTCCCTACAAATATTTACAATCCCTTCTGTAAAAATACATTAACTGAAGCAAAAGATAAATTATTTTAAAGCAAATAAGCAAGTCCTGAGAGAATTGAGGGCAGCCAGTGTTTAATTCTTGATCACTTTTGAATCATTATTAGAATTCTTGACGATCTTATTTATACTTTTTCAGATTGGCGAAGAAAAAGAACGGAACAAAAGTAGAAAAGTTCCTTCTCTGCCTTCTGTTTTGAATGAATTCTTCGGCGTTTATTGTTTGCTAAGTAGAAGTCCAAAGAAATATTTTAAGGTAGCTGTAGCCTCTATTCTGTAAATTTCATTCACTGTGATTGAAAAAAAAAACATAGGAAATAAAGTATTAAAATCTTATATGATTTATTTTTTGAAGAATAGATGTTATATTGGTTATACTGTTGATCCAAATCGTCGAATACGCCAACATAATGCTGGAAAAGAATTTGGAGGAGCAAGAAAAACAGATCATAGAGGACCGTGGTAATTTTTGTTCTTGTTATAATTGCCTTTTCATGTTAGTTGAAAATATCTTTTTTCCATTAAACTAATTTGCAAGAATAACTGTGCACTATCTTGTGCACTATTACACATTTGAATTTTAGGGATATGGTTTGCATTATACACGGTTTTCCAAATAATGTATCTGCATTACGATTTGAGTGGGCTTGGCAAAATCCAAAAAAATCACGAAGATTACGAATTCTGAATTTAAAAAAAAGAGCAAATGAGACTGCTTTTGCTTTTCGATTGCGTATTGCTTGCCATATGTTGAATAGCGATCCATGGCGTCGTCTCTCTTTAACGTTTCGATGGCTCTTACCTGTAGGTACCGGAAGCAGAAACATCATAAACTTTGGTTCGGCGAAAGTTTTATAATGCTGAATTTGATTCAGGATTTAGAAATTCCGTTCCCGACAGATGCTTTACCCCCTCCTCATATCAGTGTAGAACGCGGATCTATAATCAAGACATCTACATTGATCCCACAGTTGCAAGAAGAATATGATACTATCGGAATCTGCTTATTGTGCCTAAAATCAATAAATTCAGTAAGTTTGGCACATAGAAATTGGATGGTTAATTATTTGCAAATGGGTTATATTGATATAGTTGTTTAATGCATCGTAATTTTTGGCCAAAACTTCGCAAATTTAGATATCCGAACTATTTCGTTGTTTCGCTAGTAAAGTATGCAAATCACGTTTCCATATGCGATGTTTGTCAAAGCATGCTTTAAATGTGAATGACGACTACAAAACTCTGTTATTTCCTATTCAAGGACATTGTCCCAAATGCGGTATGTCATATCTGTGGGGCGAATTGGTGAGAGATCAACGAATTCTTCTAGCAGTTAGTGAGTTCAATTCCAGTGGTACATCATCTAATATGATACCTCATCAACTTATCAAGTTTTGATGAGTACTGATATGAAGTTAACATAAAATCCCTTGTATTTTTTAGATTTAGGGTTATAATAGTTTAGATCAAGATTTTGGCTTTAATATTTTAAAGAGTGTTGCCGTACAAACGTCACACATAATGCTTGTTGTGGTATTCTCTGCTGTTTGCCGAGAAATAAAACCTGTTATTGTTACGGTTATATTTTTTGCTAGTATATGTTTCATTTGTTTTTACAATTTTATACCGCGAAATTTGAGTTTTTATTCTATTTGTATTTTCAGTAGTTTATAATCCAACAAGATTGTTAAACTTGCAACTTTATCACATTTGGTTACTAAAACTTCTTGTTCGTGGAGAATAGTTTTTAGAAGGAATAACAGAACTTCCATTCGCTGATTTTTATTGTATCCACGATTACTGTATATGATATGTTCCTTAATTGATGCAATAGTGCAAATCTAATGATTACAAAGCAGATGAAGGCAACTGCAGTTGTTCACTGTTTCAGACTGACTGCTTGGTTATGAAAAAAATTGGACACAGTGGCACATTTGAAGTCTGAAAAACGAAATGTTTTTGGGTTAATTTAGAATTTTTTATTGTAGGTAATAAGACTAGTTAGAAATTAATACTCAGATATGTAGTATTTCAAACTCTAGCTACTTCACACAGATATAGATGTGTATGCTGACATATATATA